TTTTTAAAAAAAGTCGAATTATGCCCAAAATTTTGGTCGTTTTTGGATTGCCAAAATTCGATTTTTGATCCGATCAAAAAATCGATAATCCATTTTACGGAAAATTATATATAGAACATGTAAAAAAAATTTGATAGTGATCGGATCATTTTTTTGAGTAATCGCTGCAGCAAATTCGGAAAATGCTGTTTCGAGAAAAACGCGTTTAAAGATAAAATGATCGTTATACTATATACTATATATATACTCTTTAAATGGCTGTAACTCAAAAACTATTTAAGATATCGATTTAAAATTTTGGCATGTTATTTTTAAAGGTATAACTTATCGAAATATGGAAAAATTTACAATTCGATTTTTTGAAAATTTCACACTAGTTGTGCCCCTTAATGATTGCAAATAGCAGAAATTCTATTCAATAAGAATATTAACTATAATAAGTACCGAGCGACCGAGAGGTAACGAGGAGTACGCGCTACTAGAGGAGAACGTACAGAAAAACAGATGGCAGACTTGAAGGCCGGTGCTTGACCTGTTCCGATATAATTGAGTGGGTGCCATACCTGGAAAAGGCGCTGAAATCACCATGTATATAATCGATAATTAAGCCGATATCAGAAAATTCTTAGCTTGAATACTTTCATTTGTTAATAGAAAATAACGATAGGCTATTTGCCACGAATGGATTGATAGAACGATATGCCATAGTATATAAAACAATCCGGGAAAAGGTATGCTATGTAATAGAACAATGATTGAATACTGGTAAGTAATAAACTTGTTGACTTGAATTATTTATTCACGGTTTAAAAAGCATTTGGCATATTACAAGAAAGATTATTAGTGCTGAATAATTTAAAATACTTAATATATAATAAAAAATGGATACTAACAGGGCCGGTCCTACCTTGCATGCGATGCATGCGAAAAATGCGGGCGCAGGCCTTAGAGGGCGCTAAAACGAGCTTCGGAAATAAAATTTATAATATATCATTTATTTTTTTTAATACAAAATCAAGAATACTTAATAGTTTATAATAACCTATCTAACTAGTTGTTGAAACGGAACTTGTTAAAAAAAAAAAAATTACAAATTAAAACAGAAAAAATGGAGAATTGGGAGTCAGTGCTTAGAAAATGGCTTATTTATTCCGAGAAATTGAATTGTAACTTTTGTTTTTATAGCAAAAGTTTCGATCTGATGAACTTTGAATTTTGAAATACATGGCTTACAAATGAAGAAAATATGAAAAATGAAAGCAAAATTTACTTTGAAATAAAAATCTTAGAGCTTTTACTATGCATACTGGTGTTCATCCTCTAAATTTGATTATTAACTATGCTAAAAAAAAAATTTCATGCGGGCGCTGAGGACCCCAGGACCGGCCCTGGGTACTAATGCCTTAAGGCAGGTCCGTGAGCTGAGTTAAACTCTAACTCGATTCAGGAAAGAATAGTGTAAGAGATTTCCCATTGCCATTTCACACCGCAGTGCTAGAAACGGGCTATTTTCAATTAGAAACATATTTTTCATCTGTATTTTCCAGTGAATATGGATATAGCTAAAAACGAAGTCTAATAATCGGGTATGGCATCAATAAAAAATTATAATTTCTTTTAAGAATTGATTATACATCCATACTTTTCAGATATAATCTTATCCTTCATTCAATGTAAACTAAAAATAAAATAATTGAATTGAATAAATTATAAAGAACAAGAAGTTGATCTTAGTGTTAAAAACAGAAAATTCAATAATCCATGGTATCAGGATATGGTAATGCACTACACTAGGTAATATAAACATTAAAATGCTAATCGCCATGTCAGTCATATGTGTCTGACGCTAAGAAGTATTACATAAGTCATGTCAGACATAAGTAACTACAGTTTTTTGAAAAAAATGTCTTGGGCCAGAAATTTGCTGATTTCTTACATTTGCTGATTGAGACATTTTTAACTAAATTATCTAAGTTACCATGCCCCATGTAAAAATATTTCTGATATTATCGTAGCGATTAACGTGTTACAGGGATGACTATTTATAATTCTGTTCAAGTTAACCTTTTTATTTCTTTTCAAATATCTTTTTTTTATATTATCTTATCCTATGTAAATAAATAATATTGTTACATTCTGTATTATGTAATTTTGTTTTAAGTGCATTATTAATTTTACTATATATTGTAATTTATCCATATTGTATAATAATTGTATATATTAATTGTTATCCATAATGTAAAATAATTGTATTTTTAAGTAATTATTGTGGGCTATATATTTAAAAAATAAAATGTATTATGTCAGAAAAATGTAACAAATCGAGAGCAAAAGGTCATATTTCTTTGTCTAATAAAACATAATCGTTTATGCGTTATTAATAGTTAAATTTATGCGTATAAATGATAACAAAATCATATTCTTATTTAACATTTAACGCAACAAAACGGCATTTAAGAAATCAGATAGTAATTGCAATTACCATAACACAATGAATTATATTATTGCATGGTTATAGTTCACGATTTGTATAATTATTTTAAGAAAAATGCATTGATATATTTTTAATCAAACTAATGAGGATCAGATAAAAATATACTTGCACCGTGCATTAGATAAATAATTTAAAAAATGTAATCTTTGTATAAATCCATATAATCCAGCATCGCGAAATAGTTCCCGTTAAATCTGACTAATATGCAATTAAATGTTTTAGAATACATAAAGATTTGCCAATAATTCTTATAATTTAGGTATGTTTTGTATTTTTCCGATCTTGTTTTTGAGATCAAATATATTATCATGCAGTCTGAAATTTCACCGTAAACAAATCCTGTACCGGATGGTCATAAAGTTGTCAAGCAACGAGAGCTTTGTTGTGCAAAAATAAAAATAAGCTTAAAGAACCATTAAAATGTGATTTAAAACAATACTTTGGGAATCGAGAATATGTATATTATTTTTTAGTACTTGCTCATTTAATGAAGTTCATACTTTTTGTTGACAAACGGGAAAAATAGAGATAAACAACTTGAATTACCAAAATTTTCAGATCTTAAGGTAAAGTGAACTAATAAAATTTATGTTGCTGTTAGATAGATACAATATATATTTCAAATATTGTTATATATTAATGTACTCATTATTACATTAGTCTAAAAACTGTTAACTCTAATTTAGGTAGTATAATGTGTTATTTTTGTAATATTGAATACTGAGCGTACATCTCTATCATGAATTTCTTTATCCAAATAAATCTTATCAAATGTTCACGATATCGAATAACAAACTTCTCAGAAAAACCTGTTTTTACTAGGATTATAAAAGCATGAACTAAATGCATTCTGAAATACAAAAGATTTCTTAAATTTCAGCTGGTATTCTTAATAAAGAACGTAGAAGAAACTTTAATGAAAAAATATATTATACAAAAGCTCATGGCTCTACCCTCGTCAACAAGTCCAAAAAGTAACACAAAACCTGCCTCAAGTCCAGGTCAAAAACTCGAAATATGGGGTCTCTTAAGGGTCTTATTCAAAGCACAACCATTTTTAAAGAACCGTGACTTTTGGCAATAGAAAACTACCTGCTTTTCTCAATAGGGCGTTTATTTTAAAACGTTTTCTACTTTTGTAGATCGTCCATATTAAAACCAAAAAAAGATAGAAAATAATATTATATATATAAGTTTTGTATGTACATAAACACATACACTTAAAAATTGTCGGTGATTTTTAATACTATTATACCAAAAAAGAAGGTATCTGTATTTCAGATCAATTGAGAGAATCGAAATCAATGTTAATATGGTTCTTATATAAAATGTGTGTAAATGCACTCCTAAGATCTAAAGCAATAACTTATATAGAGCGTATATTTTAAAACGTTTTCTACTTTTGTAGATCGTCCATATTAAAACCACAAAAATGCAAAAGCAAAAGATATATTATTTGGCTTTTTATTAGAGCCGTCATTTATAGATAGAAAATAATATTATATATAAGTTTTGTATGTACATAAACACATACACTTAAAATTTGTCTGTGATTTTTAATATTATTATATCAAAAAGAAGGGAAACTGTATTTCAGATCAAGTGATAGAATCGAAATCAATGTTAATATGGTTCTTATTATTTTATATAAAATGTGTGTAAATGCACTCATAAGATCTAAAGCAATAACTTATATAGGGCGTACATTTTAAAACGTTTTCTACTTTTGTAGATCGTCCATAAAAACCACAAAAATGCAAAAGCAAAAGATATATTATTTGGCTTTTTATTACAGCCGTCATTTATAGATAGAAAATAATATTATATGTAAGATTTGTATGTACGTAAACACATACAAATACACTAAAAATTGTCTGTGATTTTTAATAGTAAAGGAAGAAATCTGTATTTCAGATCAACTTGATTGATAAAATCGAAATCAATGTTAGTATGGTTCTTATATGAAATGTGTGTAAATACACTCCTAACATCTAAAGCAATAGTTTCAATTATGATAAATATTGGGTTGTTTTCAATACAATTTCAATCTTATTGTATTGAATCAAATAAATATATGGTAAGTTCAAACAAATGACAAACATAAAAAATCATTAATCATGTATCATGTAATTAGGCAAAAGAACGATCACACGTGTTATGTAAATATCGATTTATACGCAAAATTACTACGCATTTCCACGAAGTCCTTGATCTGTTTAGAGTATTTTTAATCTCATCGATTTCATATATAAAAGTTCGAATATCCTAGTAGTTTTAAATGATTATTTCAACCGCCAAACTTAGTAATCATTTACTATTGCAAAAACTAAGCTCATATCCAAGTGACAGATATGTGACATTAATGACATCAATAGCATTAATGTCAAATTGAAAACTGTCGCTTACAAAACAGATAAACAAAATTATTAACGCAATAAGTACACATGATGTAATGAATAAATGCATCGATTCCCTTACTCTAAACAAAATAAATTTGTATAATTACTTTTATCCAACATGGCCTTCCTATTTCTGTTCCTGGATCCCATTTTAGTGAACTCAAGCTTTGTCCTGTGTTATATCGAAGACACTGCCAATGGGACGAACGTCGTTCTTTTAGATAACCAAATATATCGTCTTATCGACATATTCTTTAAAACATTTCTGTATTTTTATACAAATCTCTGAACACAACACACACTCAACGTCACTAAGAGTCGATATAGAATCGAGCACTCACACACTAAGAACAAGTTTACGTTTTCATATGTTTACTATTATTGAAAAACAGGAGTCTAAACACTTTCAAAATTCATTTACTTGAATTTATCCAAACACACTGCTTAAACATCGTTGCAAAAAGTTGTAAACGAAGGATAATATAGAGTTTTCAGTAATATGACACAAAGAATGTCCAATATGGCGCAGAACGCTCCGTACGATAGGAATGGCCAACACAGACTAAACGCGAAGTGGCAGCACTGTCGGTATTTGTGCGCTGACTGATACACAGGGTCGCCACTGCAGTAGTGGGGGGACCAGTGGACAATAGATACTAATGTGATTGAAAAATAAAAAAAAATCATTTTTATTTTTATTTCTGAAAGATGAATCAGATTTTACCAACTAGTCTGAAGAAATACTTATATTAGTTTATATAACTCAAATTAAAGCATAGATACGAATTAAATTATTTGGATCCATACTCTTCTTTTATCTATACTCCTTATCCATATACATATACTCTTATTTTATCTATGTTTGTATCTGCTTACAGCGATATCAATTTTCACTTGAGAATAGATCTTAAATATGTTTCCGAGTAAAAACATTCTTTCCCGAGTATTGCTGCACTAAATTGAGTAAAAAGTCACCCCCATTAGATAAATTCTAATTATAAATTAATAAAATATGGATACGGATTCGACGTATGAGTAATAAGGAGGCGTCCATTATTCACGTGAGCGAGTTTTTAAGGATTTTTGGACCCCCTTCTCTTTCTTGATAATACATGGTTAAATTTAAAATTACCCCCCCTGCCCCACCAAACATCACAAAATAAAAAAATTCAAATGTTTGATTTTTTTTTAAAAAAATCGACTAAAAAAATAAATACGCGTGATATCTTACTATACCCTTTCCTCCCCCACGTAATATTTTGTGATTTTTTATCAAACCCCCCCTCACCCTAAAAACCTCACGTGATTAATGGACGCCCCTTAAACAATTTTTGAAAGTTATGAGTAACTATATTAAATAAATATATATATATATTTTGCTTAACAAGCCCTTCTTTATTTTTACTTATTATAGAAATATTGCAGGCATAACATTGAAACAAATATGATTGAAATAAATCAGAGAAATCATTTTTAGTTTCATTTCTGAAATAGAAATTTATTTTTATTAAGTAGTCTAAAGAAATACTTATATTAGTTTATATAACTTAAAATAAAGTATGAATACGAAATTTAAAAATTGAATCATTTGCATTTGCTTATCTAATATATAATACAGATTCGATGTATGAAAAATATAGAATTTTTTAAAAATATGAGTAAGTACATATATTTAACTACATAATGCAAAAAGCTTAAAATGTCTTAAAAAAATACAATTAAATTTACGAAAGTAATAAAATATAATTTTTATTTCAATGAATAAAATATTTTTTTGCAATTATGATTAGGTATGTTTAATTGAACAATTTTTTTGCTAAACCATATTTGCTAAAGTCTTAAACATTTGGACATAATATAAAAATTTTGTAAACACTACAATTCTACTGCAACTATTTTCCAGATTTTGCATGTCTTAAAAAATATAATTAAATTTACAAAAGAAATAATTTTTATTTCAAAGAATAAAATAAAAATTTTGAAAATTATGGGTAGGTATTTTTAACCATTTTTTTTGCTAAACAACACTAAACATTTGAGCACAGTACAAAAATTTTGTAAGCACAATAATTCTAAATTCTTCAGGTTTTGCATAATTGTTCAAAAAATATAATTAAATCAACAAATGTAACAAAATAGAATTTTTGTTTCAAAAAATAAAATAATTTTTTTGTAAATTATCAGTAGGTATATTTAATTCAAATTTTTTTTAATTGAAGTCTTCAACATCTGGACATAGTATAGAAATTAGATAAACCCAACAATTCTAAATTCTTCAGGATTTGCATAGTTGATCGAAAAATGTAACTAAATTAACTAAAGTAACAAAATTGAATTTTTGTTTCAAGGAATAAAATAGAATTTTTGTAAATTATTAGAAGGTATTTTCAAATAAACAAATATTTTGCTAAGCAATACTAAAATTTCAAACATTTGGGCATAGTATAGAAATTTTGTAAGCCCAACAATTATAAATTCTTCAGGATTTGCACAGTTGATCAAAAAATGTAATTAAATTAACTAAAGTAACAAAATAGAATTTTTGTTTCAAGGAATGAAATAAAATTTTTGAAAATTATGAGTAGGTATACTCAAATGAACAAATATTGTGCTAAACAATACTAGAGTCTTAAACATTTGGACATAGTATAGAAATTTTATATAATTGTTAAAAAAATATATAAATTAAAGAAAGTGAAAAATTTATATAAAATTATCTATTAATATAAACAAATTTGTCTTGATTAACAAGTCTTGATTAACAAAAATAAATTATAATTTTTTTTTTAAAAAAATTCAGCTATTATTAATCCCATTGCCAGCTCTCCCTCTATTCAACGAACCGGTCGTCCCTCTCGCAAAGAGATGAAGAAAAGAGAAGAAGTTGCCCGTCGAACAGCTGTGAGAGCGGGTGGGCATTAGTTAAGCGAGCAACAGAACTATCTTGAGATACCATAGAAATGCACCGTGTTCAGAATCAGATTGTGGGTTACTGATAAACAGAGGCAAATTTGAAAACATCAATTTTGAAATTAAATTAACATATAAGCGAATTGAATATGTAGCAGTATATTTTTTTGTATAGTAAATTTATGTTTGCCTACCCACATAGAACAGTAAATTTAATTTATTTTATTAATATTAGAGATATTTGTAACATTTTTTTTATTCTCTATTTTATTTTTAACTGTCCAATTAAGAACATTTAATACATTTGTAAAATTTACAATTGTCGGCCGTAAAGAGACATTCTATACTAAAGGGGCATGTTAGAAAAACAACTCAATAGTTGTTTCTCCATTCATATTTGTAACATGTGAATATTTAATCTACATGTAGGAATATTAGACAGCCTTATAAGATATATTCTAATAATAATAGAATAATCACATATGGATGAATCATCCAGGGTCACCATCTACGATGTGAGGAGAAGATTTAGCCCAACGTCTTATAGGACGTAAGGTTCTGGTTGCTGTTAAAATAAATAAAAAATGATTATATGGAATAACAACATGGAGCCAAACAACTAAAGCTAACCTAAATGACATACAGAGAATAATGAATAAAGCCATAAAAATAGCATATAATTTTCCACATTTAACACCCACCAAATACTTAGAGAGAAACAAATAATCATTCACTAAATAACATAATTAAAATAGAGAAATGCAAACTAATACACAAAATGAAATTTAACCGAATTAAAACAAGTGCAAAAATAGACATAAATCAAGATATACATGAACACTACACTAGACAACACAAGAATTTTCACATTGAACACAATAGAAAAAAGAATTTGAGAGAAAATGTCATATGGAGTGCTAGCAAAATATATAACGAATTGCCAAATGATATTAAGATGACCAATGATGACGATAAATTTAAAAGAAAAATAAAGAAATATTATAAGGAAATTGAAGATAATGAAGACCGAAGAGTTATATATAAAGATATTTTAATTACAATAGATATTATATTAAAAAATAATAAAAATAAAAATAGAAATTTAATTAAGTAGTCAAATGAAATGTATATATAAAATACGAAAACTGTTTTTCATAATCTCTCATCCCAGGCACCACTGTCTGACTGAGATATGAAAATAATGTATATAAATAAAAAAAAAAATATCACCACACATAGATATCATGTTGATTGAAAAATCTAAATTTTAAATAAACAATAAAATTTAATTCAAAAATTATATTAATGCCACCCTGTCTTTTGAGATGTTGTGCAAGACGGAATAAAAGATTAGGGATGGGCAATAAAGCGGACGTGACAGAGAGGCGAACAAAATAAGTCGTGTCGCCGAAAGAGAGGCTCAAGCTCGGGACTTCGGTCGCTGCAAGATGTAGGAAACACGGCACGCTCTCGGGCCGTTCGGGTTCCCCATTGCAAGTCATCCCTCCCTAGCAAAGCGATACAATTAATGTGAAAGCACATCTTCGAATTGAAATCGATAATACGACATTTGTGGGGAAAAATTTAAATATTAAGAGATATAATCAAATAAAAATACAAAGTAAACTAGTGAGGCGCATGGCATCGTGCCTTAAGGCAAATTGCTGGAACTGTCCGTACCAAAAATTATGATTTTTTAAAAAACGATTAACATTTTTGAAAAAAAAATTACTTCGAAAAAATTAGATTTTTGAGAAACTATAGTTTTGACAAAAAATTACTTTATTTGAAAAAAAAAATTATTGAAAAAAAAATGTTTTCTTTATTTTGACTTATTTTGGAAATTCTGAACTTTTTTCAAAGTAATCGTGCTGCTTCAACTGCATAGAGACGAAATGTCAAAGCGCGTAAGCGCCGCGTCGTCGTCTAACGGATGAACATTGGTACGAAACCCATAGGAATGTAAACAAAATTTATACTTATTGTTAAAATCTCTATAAAATATCTGATAATTTGATGTGCATATGTCTAATGATCAATTTTGACCGCCAAATGGCATTTTTTTTACTTTTTTCATTAGATTTCTGAAACCGCTAAACCTGTCTTCATCAAAATTTGATCAATTCTTCATCTTGTCAATACAAGTAAAATGTTTTTTGAATTATTAAAATCGGACGCTGCGTTCTCTTAAAAACCGAGTTTCCATTTTTGGCACTTTTTGCCCCGTATCTTCGAAATGGCTTTGCCAAAACCTAATTAGCACGTCTCCATATCAATACGAATCGAATGTTTTTTGAATTATTCAAATCGCTTCATCTGTGTTCCCGAAATCGTCGACGAAAATTTGTATCCGCACACACACACACGCACACATACATCCATTTTTTCTTAGGTATGCCAAAATGTTCAGAAACCTTTGAAACGTAAAGATATATTAACATTTTCATTTTCGATTTTTTTGCTATTACTATAACTTACCCTACGGGAAGTTAATAAAACTATGCTAGTTATAACAAAAATTTACTTACTTAATAGAATGACAACAGCTTGTCAAGTTATTTTTTTTTTTAATATTTAGAGATATACAAATTTAAATTGGTCTAAATCGAACTTTCATAGTTATAACAAAATAACG